GTCTCGCTGAGCGGCTCTTCTAAGACTGGGGAGACCCTTGAGCCTGGAAAGCCTGCTCCCACCTGCTTATCCACACACCGTCTTGTTGGTTTTTTGTTTTTTGTTTGTTTGATTGTTTTTTTTTTATTTCTTTTTTTATTTTGTCTTTTTTTGTTTGTTTTTTTTTTTAGAAATCTGTCTTTCAGGTTTGCCAGAAGGTAGGCGTTGAGCCCACTCTTTGTGTGTGTGTCGGTCTGTCTGTCTGTCTGTCTGTCTTTGTCCGGCCTCTGTCACTAACTCCCCTGTTGGCTGATGCTTCCTGTCTTTCTACCTTGTGTATGTGGACTTCCTGTCTGCTATCTTAAAGGGATGAAGACTTCTCTGTTGGGGTCTTAGCCCTAAGCTGACCGTCCTGCACCTTCACACTGGCAGGACTTCGAATACATGTTCTGAGAGGACATTTGAGTCCCTCAGAGCAGATGGCTCTGAAAGTGAGGGGCCTCCCTTGGTCTGCAGGCGCATGTCCTCAGGAGAGGAGAGGAGACCTCAGGGACTGTCCCTTTAAGATGGTGTCCTACCCACCCAGGTCTGGTCACCTTGGGCTCCCTTTCTGGTCCTTTCCCTGTTGTGTGCATGTGCTCCAAGTCACCTCACGGGGTTGAGGCACATCTGGAATGAGGTTTCATTTGGGGTGTCCTGGGCTTGCTGAACCTCAGGGCTGTGACCTATCTCCCCTGGACTATGGCATGACAGGACTTTGGAGTACTACAGGGACATTAGGGTCCCTTGGCTAGCCTGACTCCTCCAGGCCCCGAAGCCTTTGCGTCATAGATGTAGTACAGCGCCCCCTTCTGGTAGGTGCTGCAGAACTGACCCAGCCCACCCTGGCACGGCATCTGGGCGCTTACGCCGCTCTCCTCTGGGCTGTTTCCTCCAGATGTCGCCTGAGCCTGCCAAAGAGCCAAGAGCTGGATATTCTCAGGCAGGGGTCACTCTGCCGCCAGGCCCTGGTGAAACAGCAGGAGGCCCACACCCTGCTCCTGCATCTCCCTTCCTGGGATAGAGCCTGGCTTGTTCAGCCTGGCCATGTCCTCTGCAGGCCTAGGTACGCCAGGTACTGAGCTGCAGACTGAGGGCCAGATTGGGAGCTCTGCATTTGCCTGGCAGGTGCCTTGGCTCCCCAGATGAAGGCGAGATGGGCCAGATGGGATCTTGAGACATCCCTACCCACCCACCCACCCCACCCCAGCTCACTGCATGGCTGGCAGGGCCTGCCCCCTAGGGGCCTGGAGAGAGCAGCCGGAGCCCTGTCCTTTGCACTCGGGCCCTGCTCACAGTGTGCTCGTTGGCATCTGTGTCTTGTGTCTTCTGCCCCTTTTACATGTGCTGCTGCTGCTGCTCTCCCCTCCTTCTTGTCCCTCCTCTCTCTCCCTGCAGCCCCCAGAATCCCAGCTCCAGACACTCATCTTCCTGGCAGGAGCTGGAGAAGCCGCTCAGCGGGGCCAGAGCTCTTTCTCACCTCCCTAGGGCCCTGCCCAGCCCTTGCCTTATGTGAGCAGCCAGCCTGGCAGCCAGCAGTAGGGGAACTAGCAACACAGTGGCCTTGCCCATTGGGCCACAGGCACCTACCCCAGGTGTCTACCTAACAACTCCGGGTTCTGACACAGTGAACCTCTAAGAGGCTTTCACAGCCCCTCTTCTATCATCATTCTGACGCCCTGGTTATTGGCACAAAAATTTGCTCCCAGCCCTGGTTCCAGTAGCGATCTTGAGCCTGACTGTGGGCAGGAAGGGGAGCTACTGGTGCTGGGCTGTGTGCTGGGTACATGTGCCTGCACAGCCACACCCTCCTCCCCCAGAGCTGGGGCTCCTTCCACCAGCACAGATGTCTGGGAATGTGGGGAGGGACAGCCCCCTGCTGGGGTTCCCTGTCAGAGGGGCAGTCAGGCTGCCTGTGTGAGGCGCTGCCGAGCCATACTGGCCTATAGATGACTGGCAAGTAGCTTTCGGGTTTGGGTCCTGCCCCCCCGACTGGTGGCATGTCCCCAGACCCAACCTCGCCTGGGTCTGCAGGGTGGAAGGAGCGAGAGACCCCAGACTAAACTCTCCCTCGCTCTGTTTTTTGAGGAACCTGAATGAACCTGAAAGCAAAGACCGAGTGGAGACGCTCAGGTGAGAGGGCCGGAGCCAGCACGACTGGCCCTGCCCAAGCCACCGGGCTTGTCACAGCCTCCTGCTCCTCTCTCTCCTGCCACTGGCTCTTTCTCTGGCGATTCTGCTCTGCCTCCCTCTTGGGGACTCCCTTTCCTAGGAGAATTTCCCTTTCCCACGCCTACCTGCAGTGGTTCTGGGCCCTGCTCAGGTCCTGGTCCTTATGGAACCAGCCCTGACAGGGCAGGGTGCTCCAGGTTCCCACCCTTCCTGGCCCTGCTGCTCAGCCTCGTCATCCTCATGGAGGACAGTCTGCTTGGTGCTGCTCAGTGCACTTGTTTCCTGCCTGATCCCCCAACGAAAAGAACCAGTTAACAGCATGGAACTGTCACCCTGCCCTAGCCGGGCTCTTCTCACCCCTGCATCCTGAGAGACAAGAGCCAGAGGCCTCCCATGTCCCGTGTGCCAGGACAGGGGACTGCTGCCCCCTCTTCCAGCTGTGGCTGCTGCACCCCTTCCTGCTTTCCTCTCTGGCCTCGGGGCCTGTCTGCCAGGGTGGTTCTCTCCCGGGTGGGATGCCTCAGCCTCCATCTCACGCCTCCCTCTGCCCTCTCCACAGACCTCACGTGGTAGGCGGTGGAGGCAATGACAAGGAAAAGGAGGAGTTTCGGGAGGCCAAGCCTCGTTCGCTGCGCTTCACCTGGAGCATGAAGACCACGAGCTCTATGGAGCCCAATGAGATGATGCGGGAGATCCGCAAGGTGCTGGACGCCAACAGCTGCCAAAGCGAGCTGCACGAGCGGTACATGCTGCTGTGCATGCACGGCACGCCAGGCCACGAGAACTTTGTGCAGTGGGAGATGGAGGTGTGCAAACTGCCGAGGCTATCTCTCAACGGTGTTCGGTTTAAGCGGATATCGGGCACCTCCATGGCCTTCAAAAACATTGCCTCCAAAATAGCCAACGAACTGAAGCTTTAACAGGCTGTCGGGAGGGGGAGCAGCAGAGACCCACCGGTGGACTTGGCTGCTTGGGCCAACCCTGCATTCCCCCGGGAGAGACTGCGGGATGAATTGGTGTGTCTCCCTGCTGGCACTTGTCCCCTTCCAGGCCCTTCTCAGTTTTTTTCTTCCATGTCTGTGGGGGAAGGGAAGTGGTTCTTCCTCCCTCACATTCACCCCTGCCCAGAAGTCCCTCCTTCCCCTCTTCCCCTACAGGAGGCAAAGGAAGGGGAAGGGGTGGGGGGGCAGGGCTCCCCCTCGGTACTGCGGTTGCACAGAGTATTTCGCCTAAACCAAGAAAATTTTTATTACCAAAAAGAAAAAAAAAAAGAAAAAAAAATCCCAGCGGCCACCTTTCCTCCCTGCCCCATTGGGACAGTCAAGACTGGATCTGTGGGGTTCCTGGGAGGGTGGCTCAGGGCTGGAACACTCTCAGGCAAGAGTGGTGGAGTTCCCTGGCAGGCCCTCCGCCAGGCCCACTTTGGGCTTCTCCCCTCTCCCCACTTCTTTCCCCTCCAAGCAACCCACCAGAGGTGGCCTTCCCTTGCCCCCAGGCCCTTGGGCTACAGGCCTTTACGCTGGGGCCCAGTGGGGTACTGCACAGCCTTGGCGAGGGTGGGCGGTGGGACCCTGGCTCCCTCCATACCATATCCTCTGCTCTCCTTCCCCAGAGCTGGGCATTTCTTTCCATGAGCTGCTGTGGGGATATTCGTTCCCCTCCTCAGAAGTCTGTGCCATCTCCCACCTTTCCGGCCGGCGGAAGGTGGGGCTGACCCCAGTACTGGGAGAGGGAAGGGGGCTGGGCCATGGGCTCTCGGCCCCCAGGGGGCCGCTTGGGAACAGGGACACAGGCTTCTCCGTTCTGGGCGTCTTTGTCTGAAAGCACAGCCCCTCACCACCCCACCCCCCACTGCTTCCCCACCTTGGCATTAATCCGGGCACCGTCCTCATCCCTCAGCCTTGCCTTCTCTTCCTGGCGCTGCTGCCCTCCTCTCAGGAGACTGCCCAGGGCCTCCACGGCCGCCTGGCGGAAGGCTGGATCGGGCAGCAGGTCCAGGAGTCTCTGTCCTCCGTAGGGTGGGGCAAAGTGACCCCCGCTTGCTAACCTCCAAGGCCAGTGTGTGAATGGGTGGCTCTAGGCGCTTGGCTGGTGGTGGCCACTGCACCCCTTAATTTATTTCTCTGCTGTTTTCTTGAGAAATTGGGGGAGTCTTACAGAGGCTACCCCTGCCCTCACCTGAGTTGTACATTTTTTTTGTGATGGGTTTTATTTTTTATTTTATTATTATTATTTTTTTTTTTTTTGATTTACGATGACTCCACTCCCAGCCCCAGTGTCGTGTGTCACCCCCCTCCCACCCGGTCATCACCTTGGCTCCCAGACCAGGCCAGACTCTGCCACATGTTGAGTCCTTGGGTTCCAGGAAGGGACCTTGCCAACCTCAACCCTCCAGCCCCATGCTCCACTGGCTGTCTCAGACCAAGGGCTCCTCCTCCTTCCCCTCTTGCCCTATGGAACAGCCCGGGTGCTCCAAGGGGGCCAGGAGGGCATGGCTTGGCTCCCAGCAAATGGGGTGGGGGCCGGGGCACCCAGGCAAGGTGGCCCCTCCCTGCCTCGCCCCCTCCTCCTCTACCCTGCACTTAGTTTCTCCTCTGGATCAAACACGTAATAAAGAGAATGTTTGGAATCTGAGCTGCCACCTCCTGTTTCTTCTCCCTGCCGGCAGGGACTCAGTGCCCGCCCCTGGGCAAGATGTGGCCCTAGCCTGCCTGCCTTGCAGGAGATAACTGGTTACTGTCTTGGTCCTGGGGGAGGCCAAATGCTGGATGGCCAGTTCCCTTCCACCCTCACAAAGACACGAAGATGCATACATTAAGAGGTTGCATTTATTTCTTTTTTAAAAATGTTGAAAAATAAACCCATGTCTGTGTTAAGTCCCCAACCCTCCTTTCTCCAAGCTTGGGGGTGGACAAAGTGGGCCCCTCACAGCTGCTCAACATTCTCCCTACCGGGTCTCTGCCATCCCCACCCCAGCCCCCTCCCCACTGCACCTGACTTATTGCTAAAAGGAGGGAAAGGGGAGTGAGGCCAGCTAACACCCCAACTGTCCTCTGCCCCCACCCCATGCTAAAGTCACCACCCCCACACAAAGGGTAGGCCCAGAGGCCAGGCCCTCGGCAGGCAGGCAGGCAGGCAAGGAGGCAGCCATTCCAGTCACAGCCAGGCAGCAGAGTCCCTGCAGGCCCTGAGCTCTAGCCCCTGGCTGGGGGTTGACAAGCTCAGCTGCCAGGAACGCATGCAGAACCCACAGGTCCAAGCTGTGCCAACTGGCAGCTCTGGGTCTCTGAAAGACCTGGCAAAAGCCCTAGTCCCTTCTGTCCTTAGTGATGCTAGAGATATCCAGCCAAGGGGCTCAGGAGCCTCTGGGCAGTGAAGGATCCAGGGCTCAAATTGAGGGTGCAGGGGGCTCCAAGGGGGCTCCAATCAGGGTAGGTGGAGGCTGAGGACCAGGGCGGGCACTGTGGCGAGAGGCAGCCAGGGCAGGGCGGATGAGGGGTGGTGGGGGCTGGTTGGGGGCCAGCCGGGGCTGCAGGAAGCGGCCCTGTTGCAGGGGAGGTGGCTGGCGGAGCAATGTGGGAGCTGTGGGCAGAGGTGGCCTCAGCAGTGGAGGTGGCTGGGAGAGCGAGGTAGGTGGCGGAGGCGGGGGCGGTGCAGGGGGTACTGATCGGGGTGCTGATGTTGAGACAGATGTAATCTGGACCTGGGGGGAGAGAAGAGGGTGAGGAGGCCGCTCCTGCACGTGCTTGGCAGCCCTAGAGATGCCCCTCTCCTCTGAAGACTGAGCCCCCTGCTTCTCACCTCATCATCTTCTTCCGGGGCTGGGGCTGGGGCTGGGGCTGGGGCTGGCACAGGAGCCCCTCGCCTGGCCTCTTCCATGGGGACTGGGGCTGCAGGGGCCCCATCCTGCTCAGCCTCCCATTCCTGCAGCACCTCCTCCAGGTTGAAGCGGCGCCGGTAGCTCACAAAGAAGGTCTTCACTTGGGTCAGAGTCTTGTTCCCAATCACCTCCGCAATAGCCCCAAAGTCTTTACCGTATCTACGAATAGCTGTGAGGGTCAAAAAGGGCAGCAGACTGTTAGATGGCCCCCAGAACTACTTACTTCCCCTCCACTTCAACTCCTGGAAAGGTAAGAGGTCTCTGGGGTTCTCAGTTCCTCGCCACTGCCTGACCCACCTTGTACAGCCAGAAGTTGCTCATCTGTGGTCCAGCGGGAATTGAACTTGGTATTGGCCTAAAAAGCAAGGAATATAAATAACCATTATACTGAAACTATGTAAAGGGAGAGGGGATAGAGAGATGGTCCAGCAGTTAAGAGCACTAGCTCTCCAGGAGAGAACCTGTCGTCAATTCCCAGCACCTACATGGAGGCTCACAGCCCTCTGAAACTCCAGCTCTAGGGTATCTGGTGCCCTCTTCTGGCCTCCACGGACAGCAGGTACACGTGTGGTACACTTACAAACACACACTCATACACATGAATAGAAATAACCTTTAAAAGTACGCCGGGCAGTGGTGGTGCACACCTTTAATCCTAGCACTTGGGAGGCAGAGACAGGTGGGATCTCTGTGATTTTGAGGCCAGCCTGGTCTACAGAGTGAGTTCCAGGACAGCCAAGGGTACACACAGAAACCCTGTCTCAAAAAAACTAAACATAAATTAATTAAAATATGTATGTGGAGGCTGGTTAGATGTCTCAGCAGGTAAGGCTTCTTCCATCAAACCTGATGACCTGAGTTTGATCCCCAGGATCCACAACATGGAAAGAGAACCAACTCCTGCAAATTATCCCTCCAGCCTCCACACATGCACTATGACAGGTCCCGCCACCCCATCTGAGTCCACCCCACCCGAGTTAATAAATGTGAAACGTATGCTTCCGCAGGGCGGTGGCGGCACTCGCCTTTAATCCCAGCACTCAAGAGGCAGAGACTGGAGGATCCCTGGGAGTTCGAGGACAGCCTGGTCTATAGAGCGAGATCCAGGACAAGCACCAAAACTACACAGAGAAACCGTCTGGGGGGGGGGGGAGAGTATGCTTCCTAGGCAAACCCCCTCCTCATTTCTGTCCTGCCTTTAGGGGAAACCCCCTTTTGTACTCAAATAAACAACGTAACAGCCTTACCTCAGGGGGGCGGAGAGGGTCGATGCCACCCTCCAGTGCCTGTCGGAGGCTGCTGTTGGTCTGCTTCATGCTCTGAACCTAGGCCAAGAAGGAGAAAGGAGCATGGACCTCTGCATCCTAGGAAGGACCGCCCGCTCCCCCAGGCCCTTCCTCCCCCAGTAGAGCACTGGGGACTCCCCCCACCATCCAGTCCACTCCTCCTTCACAGTCGTAGGACACTGGTGATTTATTTGCTCATGTTGGTGGGACATTTTTGTTTGATTGGGTTTTGTTTTGTTTTTTGTCTTTTTGGTTTGTTTGAGGGAACCACAGCCCAGGCTGGCCTCAAACTTGCTATAGAGCTGAGAACTCCTAATTCTCCTGCCTCAGCCTCCCAAGTGCTGGGATTTCTAGTGCTTGCCACAGCACCCAGCTTTCTTATTTGAGACCAAGTCGTGCGGCTTGCCGAGGGGTGAGAAAGACAGGTGAAAGCGCTTGCCACAAAGCCTGATGACTTAAGTTTGATCCTCAGAACTCACGTAAAGGGGGAAGGGAAGAACCACGTGAGCACATGGCACCTGTGCCCATAGACATATCAAATACACATACATACGTCTTGCATACCCTTAAAAGGTACTTGTCACCAATCCTGACCCAAGTCTGGTTCCCAGGACCTAACGAGTAGAGAGAACCAACTCCCCAAGTTGTCTGGTCCACACTATGGTATGTGGGAGCCCCAGCCCCATGCACAAAATAATAACAAAATAAATGAGATAAGGTCTCACATATCCCCCAGATAGCCTCAAATTCACTATGTAGCCAAGGGTAGCCACCTGCCTATGTTTAAAGTCTACAAGAGCTAGAGAGTAGTAGCTCAGTTGGTATTGCTTGCCCAGCATGCATGATCCCCAGTACTTCATAAATAGAGCATGATGGTACATGCCTGCAATCCTAGCACTGGGGGTGGGGGGTGGAGGCAGGAGAGTCAGAAACTCAAAGTTATCCTCTGTTACAGAGCAAGTTTGAGACTAGCCTGGAATACATGAGACCCTGTTCCCCACTCCCCCCGAAAGAAGGCCAGGGAGCTGGCCAGACGGGCAGGTAAAAGTACTAAAAGTACTTGCTACAAAGCCTGACAACCTGAGTTTGCTACCCAGAACTCATGAAAAGGCAGAAAGAACGAACCACGTGAACACCAAGGCACAAGTGCCATGCACCTATCACATGTACATGTGCATGCCTACACACACACACACACACACACACACACACACACACAGAAAAGAATGACAGTTATCCTGGATCCCTGACAGTGGGACAGAGCCAAGCTCAGCCCCGCACCGCTTCCCTTACACCAACACAGGTCTCAGGAGCTGATGATCCCCTCTGCATGGCCCCCTTTCCTTGGGCCCCCTACCTGGCGCTTAAGGGAGATGAGCTGTGAGTCGAGACCTCGGAGTGTGAGGTTAGCAAGGTCTGGACTTCCTGATACTGCAGTGAGGCCTTCAGGACTCAGGTACATGCCCTTGGGCGGACGTCTCCGAGTTCGAAGTGGGTGGTGGCGGTACTGAGACACCTGAACCTCCTTCTTCCCAGGACCGGGCCGTGCATTCAGAGGTCGAGATGGCAGAGGCTGAAGGGAAATATAGAACACTGTGTACGTCTGAGGCCGAGTTGAGGGATGGCCAGGGCAGAGCAGCTAGGGACCTCACCTCTCGCTTGGGGTCTCCAGTGTCTGGCTCCCCCTCACTCACAGCTCCTCGCCCCTCTTCAAGCTCATCACTGCTGACACAGGGCCAGGGAGAAAAATGAGGGGAAGGCCCAACCCAAAACAGTCATCCCCCTGCCCCTACCAACAACCCCCACCCCCACCTGTCTTCTTTGTCCTTGCGGCCACCCAGCCGCCTGGCCTGCCTGTCCATCACACTAGTTCGACTTCGGGTCTTCTTCCAAGAGTAGTAATACTTCACCAGGCTGGGGATCAGCTTGTCGGGGAGCTGGGGAGGCAAGGCCAGAAACAGGAGTCCACCTGAGACTCTGGCCCCAGGTAAGCTGTTTGGGACTGAAGGGCTGAGGATCACTCGATGGGCCACGGACGCCGAGTCTTACCATCTGCTGGATCCGCTGGAAGCACTTGCCATGGAACCCAAAGGCCTGTTCGAAGAGCACCTTGTCCTCCACTGTCCACTCGTCGGGGAAGGGGGTGAAGTTGGCCAGGTCAGCCAGGGACTTCTCCACATCGTGCTTGTGCCACAGAAGCATGCCAAGTGCCTGGCCCAGGACAGAAGCAGCTCAGGTCCGGCCACCCCAGGACTGCTCTACCCAGTCCCACGCCCACCCCTCAGGGCCTCCGGCTCACCTGCTCAATGTTGTAGCCATGCTTCTCCTTGGCCATGGCAATGTACTTGTCAACTGCAGGGGGAAGGCGTGGGGTCACCGAGGGCAAGCCCCCAAAGCAAGGACCACTTGTCAGCCTACTGCCCCCTTCTGTATCTTGCCCAGGCTACGGCAATGCTCCTACCACAGGCTTCCGCGTAGATGGCCCACTTCTAGGGAAGAGCTGGCCCGGGGAGAGCAGGGCTCCTGCTCCCAAGACAGCCTGAGCACGGCCCACCCCACTCACGTTTGGCATCCGATACACAGTGGTTGGGTGACCACACCAACATCCCCTTCAGCTCCTTGTTGCTATAGCGCGCTGGGCTCTCTGAAAGTCAGAAGAGCAGAATTGGCTTTGTGGCACTCACAGGAACAGGAGACCACTGGGCCACACTGTCAAGCTGGGAGGTGAGGCCCAGAAGGGAAGGAGGAGCAGAGATCCAGACAGGAAGGCAGAGCAGGAAAAGTAACAGTGCCACGGGGGCCACCCACCCCGCCCACCGCCTGTCCCTCAAGCAGGAGCCAGCCAAGAGTTCCCAGGTGGGGCTGCAGGCCAAGCCATCAGCCTCCACCCCTCCCTCCACGTCTGTCCTGCCACTCACCAGGCTTGCACTCCGGAATTACTGCTTGGTAATTGGTTCCAACACGGATCATGCTGTCTGTGGAGCCAGGGGAGGCAGTCAAGACTCCAGAGAAGTGGGGGGGAGGATATGGCGGGGGAGGTAGCTGATCTAGAGTTCTCCTTTCTGACCACTCAGGGCCCCCACCACCCAGGAGACTCACTTTTCCCTGATGGTCCCCCCCAGCAACCCTCCGAGGCGGAGGGGACTGGGAGAAAGACCCTGCCTAGTCATGGCCATGGGGGGAGGGGGGTTAGGAGGACAGTTTAAAGCCCAGGCCGGAGCAAAGTGCTTTGTTCTGGCTGGGGGGTGGAGGCTTGGAGGGCTACCCCTAGACCTGGAGTGGTCCCTGCAGGGAACCTGGGGCTCCTCCCCACCACATGAGCTTCACAGCTCCGCATGGAGGTGTCTTTCCAGCCCCTGGCCCAATCAGACCTCAGTCCCTGGCAAGGTGGCAAGGTATGAGGGACCCAATCCATCCAAGAGAGGCACCTTAAGCTCGCTCAGCGACTGAGGGCAAAGGGGAGGTGGGTGGCCAGCGGCCCAGGCTGTAGATTCCCCCATGCCGGCAGCCCCAAGCATGAGAAAGCAAAGGCTGCAATTCAGGAGCGGCAGAAACCATCTGTGGTTTGCAACTCTCCCCCTCCCCAGCTTCCGTGTCCCCTCCCCGGACCAGCGCGCCTTTAACCCTAGGCCACCGGGCTCACCGTGCGAGTGCTCCTCCTCGCTGCTGTCATCCTCCGAGTGCGGCTGTCCGCCGTTGGGTGCCGTCTTGGCCCGACTTCGGGACAGGATCCCGGAGCCCGCACTGGGCTTCTCCATCACCGAGGGCATTACCCCGCCCGGCTGCCCCGGGGGGGCGCGGGAGCCTTTGGAGAGCGTCGGAGCTTGCCGCGCTTGCCTCGAGTGCCGCACCCGGCCCGGCCTGGAGAGGTCGCCACTGAGGCTACGAGAGGCGGGAGGTCAGCGTGGCTAGGGTCCGAGAGGTCGGGGCCCCGGAGGGCTGCCCTGGCGCTCACTGCGACCCCCACGGGCGAGGACGGCAGAAAAGTTTGTGAAGAAGTGGGGGTACGTGGAGGACGGCGCGGCCGGGGGGCACACTCGCTCCGTGCGCCCCTCGGGGTTGGGGCTCCCCCGGGAGGAATCGGGGCGCGCTGCCCTCGGGGAGCCCCGGAGCCGCGCCGCGCGCCTGCCCACGCCGTTCGGCCGGCGAGGGCTGCCTCGCCGTGGCCGCCGCTGCGGGCTCCGCGCCCCTCGGCTGGGAGCCGAGGATGCCCGGTCCCCAGTGGGGGAATCCTGCCCAGCCGGACCCCACGGCAGCCACGCCAGCCCGCGGGGGCCCTGGCGGCGGGACGGCGCGCACGGCGTGCGGCGCTGGAGCAGAGTTGCCGGGAGGCGGGCGGAGCGCAGCCGCGGGCGCCGCCTCGCACCCTCCCCGGCGCGCTCGCTCGCCCCGCCGCGCTCGCGCTACCGCCGCTCGCTCGCCCGCTCTCCGCCGCCGCTCGCTCCTCGCGCACACAATGAAGCTGCTGGCAGGGAAGTAGTGCCGGCTGCGGCCTCAGCACCCCTCCCCCAGTCGATGCCTCCGCCAGCTGAACATCTGGCCCTGGGGTGGGAGGGAGGGCCCGGGGGGCGGGGCCTAGGGCCGGGGCTAGACCTCCAGGGGGTGGGGTCAGGACCAGGATGGGGCCCGCGTACCCCCCCCCCGGGAGCGCCCCTCGTGTCTCTGAGCTCTCAGACTTTGCCCCTGTGGGTAGACCTCAGTGTCCCCCAGGAGAAGCCCCGGGGTCAGCCCCACCCACAATCACACCGGCTCCACACACTAGTGGGCTCCGATTACTGTGGTCTGCCCCGGGGGCCCAGAGGCCGCCTGTCCGTCCGCCCGGGTGGAGCCCAGCTTTTCCTTCCATTTCTCTTCCTGCCAAGGAACTCCCTGCCCCCCCTCTTCCGCAGGGGGACCCCCCCCCTTTCATGCGCCCTTGGGGGCCAAAGCGGATGGGAGGCCGGACAGGCGCGAGATGAATTTCTCCAAGAGCTACTGGGCCAGAACCTGACTTCTGCTGGATCTGCGGGTCCCCAGGGGTCACCCTTGTGTCTCTTAACTGCTGCAGTTTGCGCCCCAAATCAGTGGTGCCAAAGAGGAATGGGCATGGAAGCCATGAGGCAAGGTCTGGGTTGAAGGGGGCGAGCTCCCCACTGGATTCACTGTCACCCCAGCTGGAAGCAGCATCCCCCTCCCCCCGGACAGGCTTGGGCAGAGTGACAGACAGGGAAGCCGGTTGGGAGGCACAGACGGAGTTGGGGGAGGGGGTGGGCAGAGACTTTCAAAGCCAGACCCAGCCACCCTGCCAGGCACACAAAGAGCCAGCGCACTCACCGGCAGCTCGAAGCCTGCGAGCTGCGCCTGTGCCCGTCCCCGCCGCCTGGGGCACGTGCTGCAGCGCACACAGGCCGAAGCCCCCGCCCGCCGCCCCTCCCACGGGGAGCCCCGGACTCCTGGACACGCCTTACCCAGGCACACCCCGCTATGCCCAGATCGAGCCGAGCCTGCTCTCGCACCCTCCTCTCCCTTCCCTTCCTTGGCCACTCTGTAATCAGATTCCTAAATTTAGAAGCAGCCCTGGCCCCAACCGGGGATCCCCGCCCCCACCCACTGGCTGTGGCCGACTGGCCGGGGTCCTGTGGTCAGGCCACGACCTGGCTGGGGCGTCCTGCTCCTGGGGGTTCCTTGCCCGCGGCCGGCCGACAGAGGCAGACATGACCCCACCCGACTTCAGCACCATCGGGCCACCTAGGGCCACCCAGTCAGCGGCCACGTTGTCCGCCACACCTCGGGGCCAGAGTTCTAGGGCCTTTTACCTCCCTTTTAATCATGAGCTGGGCACCAAGCCCCAGGATGGAGAGAGATCTGGGACAAAGAAAGAATGAATGAACCAGAGACGGTCTGACCTGAAGGGGTCTGTTCCAAGAGGCAAAGCGACTTCTGGGAACCCCTAGAAATGAGTGGCAGGGGCCTCTACCTGTCCCCAACACCTCTACCCTTCGGGGAGATGTTCGTATTCCTATGCCTTTGCCTAGCTGGTAACCACTGTGCACACCACACTGTCCTATGATGGCGTCTTTCTTGCTTCTGGCGACCCTGAGTCAAGGGTCGCCCATCTTCCACTGGTCTCCTTCCATACGTGAACCTAGGATGCTGGCCCAAGACCCTACCCCACCCCAGGCCGCAAGCACCATGCTTAGTTCTTGTCTCTTTCCTCCAGGGCTGGCCCACGTGCCCTGGCACAAGGCCTAGCAAGGAGCCCAAGCACTGGCTTCCTGTCTTGTCTACAGCCACTTCTCCCATACACTAGGACCCAATTCTGTTCCCGTTTATCCCTGGAGCCAGCTCTGACCCCCCCACACCCACACCCACACCCACACCAAAGGAAGAGCCGACTCTGGGGTGGGGGCAGGGCGGGGAGGTTTTATTATTTATTTTTTGAGGTCCGGGTGCTGTCTGGAAGCCCTGATGTCGTGAGCTCTCTGCCAAAGAGGTGAGACACCACACAGGAGGGGGCGTCAGCAGAGTTGAGGGACCATGGTGGGGGGGCCACAGGGGGCAGAGAGGTGGCTGGCTCCAAATGATCAGTTTCAACCCCCCTGAGCTGCAAGGGCTCAGGGGAGGGGCCAGGCCCCTCCCCTCCCACCTGCTGCAGCGCCCCCTCCCCAGCTGGCCCCCTCTTTTGTGCGAAGGCACACAAAGGACAAGGGGCCCTGGCCGGTCTGGCCATCTGCTCCTAGCAGCCTGGAAGCTCTTAAAGAGACAGCTCCCCCTCCCCGCAGCCCTAGGGCTGTGGGGTGTGGCTCTGCCTGGGCACCCAGTCACCGCAGGACGTACCCCAGGTCCCACCCACCTCCCTCTGGTTCCCCAAGTCCTAAGGTCAGGAGTCTTCTTCCCTCAGATGTGGGGTGCAGAGGTGCCACGTGGCCAGGAATATGGGGTGTGATAAGGCAGAGAGGCAGCCAGAGACCAGCCCCTCCTCTCCTGCAGCCTGAGGAAAGCACAGAAGCAAGCTGCAAGAACCCGGTCCCTCACCTCCCTGAGGCCACCTGCGAGCTTGGCGGGAGCTCAGGTCTCCCGGGAATGCTCTCCCGCCATTTTGACGGATGAGCTTCCACTCTGGGCCCGCGGGGAGGGATGGCGAGCATAACAGCGCCCTGCCTTCTTCCCGGGGATGCAAGCCAGGGCACAGGCTGCCTCACAGAAGCCCAAGCCCACAGACAGGCACATTTGTCCCCATGCTCTCCCAGATGAGGGAGCTGGGGCTCTGCCTGGCCTCTGCCTGAAGCTTGCCTCCCTGGCCTGGGCCCTGAAAGGCTCCTGGGCCCTCAGATCCCCAGGAAAGTCTGCTCTGGCCCAGTCAGCCCAGAACAACTCATCTACCACTCAGTTCACAGACACAAATGTGCCTGATAGCTTGTCGTCTTGTTCACTGCTGTGTTCTTAGAGCCTAGCATACAGCAGGCACTCAGCATTCGCCGCCGCCGAGGCAAACAGCAGCTATCAGGAGCCCCAGCCTTTCCCCTTAGCTGGGCTCCTATGGGCTAGACCTGCTGCTGGGCATCTTGCCTCCTCCCTCTTCAAGGTGAGGCAGAGGGACAGGGTTGAACAGGGATGGATGCTGGGGAAGAAAAGGAAGGGTGACCTTGGGTGAGCCACCGGGCCTCTCCTCCCCTCACAGGCGGGGCGGCTCCAGCCAATCCCTAATCTGCCAGCCCTGCCAGACAGACTGGGACTGTCCGGAGCAGAGGCTGGAGGCTGGCTGCTGTGGTGTGGTGCCTGGGACCCTCGCCAGGCCCTCCGTGGCCACAGCCAAGGGGCTAAACTTGGGGAGGGAGGCAGGCTGGTAGGTCTAGAGTGAAGGCAGGAGGGTGGGAGGATCCGGGCAGAAACCTGGAGTAGCCACGGGGAAGGGGAAATGTCCCCTTTCGGAGGAGGCGGGTATGGGAGGCGTCCTGGGGAAGAAACATAAGGAGTTCTCCCCAGCCCCCCTCAGTGCTGCTCAGACAGGAATTCCTCCTTCAGAGCCCTCTGTGACCTCCCCATCCCTGAGCCGCATTGGTGATCAACGCTCCCTCCAGCGACACCCACCCCACCCCCACCGTGCAAAAAATGCTGAGAGGTAACAGGGGTGGCAGGCAATCCGGTGTTTGGCACCACCTCAGCTCGGATGCTAAAGGAGGCTCTGGGCCAAGCAGAAGTAGCTATGGAGTCTGCGAGTTGGACTCTAGGCTTCCTGACCCCCAGGGCCAGGGAAATCTGATACCTAGAGCCAAGCATCTGGGGAGCTAAGAGCAAAGGGTTTGAGAGGCTGACAGACAGGAAAGCGACCGAGGCCTCCCAGACCACGGAAGAGGCAGCTTCCAGCTCCAGGAGGCTGCTCGGGTTCCAGAGGCTTTGAAAAGTGCATGGCCCCCCACCCTCACCTGGGCAACAGCTGCGCCCCCTGGCGGTGGCAGTCCAGACCTAAGGAGACCCACCTTGGCCAGGGCAGGAATGTCCTCCCAAGGAGGCTAAGCCTGGCACCAAGAGGATCCAAGCTCCTAGACTGGGTACCTGGCCTTTGGTGCCCAACCACCTACCCTGGGTCATGAAAGTCACTGAACCTTAGATCCATCCGCCAGGGCTACCCAGAACCTCTCAGACCAAAGCAAGCCAGGGAGCTCCAATCCAAGGTGACTCCCGGCTCTGTGTCTTGCTTGCTGTGTGGCCATATGTGAATGACTTGCCTTCTCTGACCCTCTGCTCCTCCACTCCTAAAAGGGAATAATTTTCATCTCATCAATTATTCAGAGGATCC